CATGTGCATGCGTACAAGTTTGCCGAGCGAGCGAGCAGTGGCAGGGCCATCGTGTCGAGCCGTCGCTGGGCTGGAACTGGGATGTCAGAAACGGAACACACTCCGTCGGCAAGATGCGTGACGAGCATCGCCCGCAGCTTCAGGAACCACACAAGACGGACAGTGTGACAAACGTGATGCAGGGCAGTGTGGTATTGCGGCCACCCAGGTGCAGGCGCCTGGATTCGGACATGGACGCCGCCCTGGGTGCTTCACACATGGGTGGTGCAGCGTGCCATTCGGTACTCCCGCCGGCAGGCCACGGCGACGACGGTCGGCCAGGGCCTGCCGGGCCTGCAAAGGCCCTGCTAGGGTCGCATGGCAGGTGTTTTGGTGGGATCGTCATCCTCACAGACGTGTCCCCCCTCCACAGGACTGGCGCCAGGACCAGTCGAGTCGCGCAGGATCCCACAACCAACTCGTGTGCCTCGGGTGACCAGCAGACACACACCCCTGGGCATTTTGAGCGGCCCAGCAGTTCGTCAACGAGGTTGGCTGACTGGCTGCGCAAACCATCTTTGTACGACGAACCCCGCATTACCTGACGACCACCTTCATGAACCGCGCCCGTGCCGCCAATGTTCTCGTGGCGCACAGTCGACCAGAGGCGGAAAACTTCGCCTTGTGGGCGGATAAGCAAAGCGGCGGCATTTGTCGATCAAAAAGCACTGTGAAGTCAGTGGTGGCCCGGCGCAAAGTCGATCACGACCACATGGAGCTTGTTATCTCCCCCAGATTATGCGCCACGTCGCAAACTCCCATGCGCCTGCCGTCCGTCATGTGCGAACCAGTCGGTTCAGTCGAAGTTGGATCCAGACACCTCATCTCGTGGTTGGTTGGGAGGTGTTCCGATTTGCAAGTCTTGCCGACAAATGCCATCCCCTGGCAAGTTTGGACCGTGCGTCCTCACCCCCGCCATACTCCTGAGAAGGGAAAGGAGGGCCCCCCTCTTGGAGACCAGGGGTTTTTGGATCTTGGCCCCTGCCAGGATCTGGGACACTGGAGGGTCCTTTGTCAAGAAGCGCAGCATGATGATGACGGGCTGCTA